TCTATAAATTGTCGCCACTATCTTGTCCAATCCTAAAAATCTTCAATGTATGTTGTTATCAAATGAGATTGTTCCCCTTCAACTTGTCGAGATGTACTAATACTCTCTATAACAAAATAAGCCCAAGTAGTATTATGAAATAAACATTTAGTCTCCTTTAGAAATAAAGGATAGCTCTTCTAGATCTACATGACATTCCTCGGATGCTCTTCCACGATCTGCCTAGGGCTTACTATATACCAATATTGAAAGATACTATACATGTCTTTCTTTATATTGGTTGAAAACTATTATTCATAAGCCCTTCAAATATAGAAGGTGCATTGGTTAATACTGAAGGGCATGGAAAACAAATTCAGTGTTTGTCATGTATTCTAAAGTGATGTTCTAAACGCCAACAAGAAAGGCATGAATATGAAGATATTCACAATTATGTAACTAAACTGCCTGTAAATCAACACAATCTCCAACTTTAGTCCCTTCTCTTGATAAGCAACACAAGTGATTAATAGCTACTCTTGGATGGCCACATTATCTAGTCTTGAGCTTCCCCTTCAACAATTTTTCCAATTTCAAAGTTTTTCAATATATGGTTAATGTTATTACTTTACAATTTAAAGAGAAACAATAGTGATTTGGTGGTCGTGAATAGACACCACTGATGTTAGACATGTATAAAGCTGAAGACTACCATACACCCTTGCTGGACAGCACTGACATTAGACATTTATAGAGCAAATTTGGAGGTCAACCTCGGATTGAGCTGAGATTTGAGGTGGATTTTTGGCACTTCAAAAGTGATTTCATCAGAAGCAAGTTCTAGTTAAGAAAAAGGGTTCAAATGGAACCTGAAATCCTGCTAAACTGGTAGATTACATAGGCTAAAATTTTGTTCATCATCTTTGGACTCTTTGGTGCTATTCCAGCTATAGTTCAGGGTTTATTCTAACAGTAGAAGACTAAAGATGTGTGAACAAGCTTCAGGAATTACTGAAGGGACACATGTTTAATAGTAAAAGTGTCCTCTTGCAATTGTGTCAAACGTCTACCACGGTTACCAATTTTTCGTAGTCCCAAATAATATTCTTAACCACCTAACTTCTTTCATAATTGTAGCATACAAATCAATATTTGATCATTCTTGCACAGATAAAGGTGTGTTGGCAAAATTACCTATAAGCATGTTGCCATTTAACACCATGAATTAAAATGTACTAACAAACTCCAAATTTCATCATAATTTTAGATATATTAAATGCAATGCAACAATAGGCAGATCTAGTTGCTTATTTACATAGGAAGTAAAGCACCAAGCGACAGGTTTTTTGGATCACACTTAGTATGATATACATGAGGATTTCTAATATGTACCTAATATTTCATCCAAAGGTGGTTCTTCTTCTTTGGTATTCTCTTTGTATTCTCTTGAAAAGATATTCTTCCATCCCTTCTTCTCCTTCATCAAAATCAAATATTAATAAGCTGCATGCTTATGTCTTACACATGCCGCATTATCCATGTTTAGTTGCAATAGAAGCACATTGACGTTGCCTAATAATTTTTCTATCATAAGCATCTTTGTAGGTCTCAAAGTTCCTATAGAAATCATAGAAAATGCTGACTGTGCTAAGATAGAAGTAGGAGCCTTATAATTGAAATAGGTCATCTTGTAGTAACTGATATGAAGAAGCTGCCAACTTAGTGATGGTGGTGGCCTATCTAAACAATCTAACAAAATTAGCATAGTGCAATGTCCTCTTCTTGGCAATACGAGCTTCGCTTATTAATGAAGCAACTTGTGGGATATAGAAGTACAACAACCTCTTAGGTCATACTTGAACCCTAGTAGAGCCAGCCAAATGTAGGAACCAACTGCCTTTTTGACTTCATCCATATACAACAAACCCTCTTCAATATTTCTTTCTAAAAAGCAAAGAGGCGGAAGTTGAGAGGTCCTTACTTGGGGCATGCTCTCTTCTAATAAATCTTGTGTTATCTTTGTGGTCACTGTCAAATCACTCCTTTCTACTTCAATTCAAACGCTTTCTGCATCGAGATATTGTAATTAAGTGTTGATTGGGTTGAAGCATAAAATTGTTGTAGCATCATCTGTATTACTAAACCTTTGAGATCTTATATTTGAGCATCGACGCAAAAATGAATTATGTTAAAGGTGGTGTTAGTCTCGTCCAACTAGCTCTTTTAACAAATTGATATGATGAAGCCTTAAAACAAAATGATGTCCTAACAAGCATCAGAGTAGACAGAGGATAAAGAGAAGTTTCGTAGATTAAGGAACGAAAGAGAGTAACTCGGGAGAAAGGATAGAGAGAAGTGAGGTGGATTACGGGGGAGAAAGAGAGGAACTCTGGAGAAATATTGTTATCCAGGTGTCAAGATATATGTCCAAGGTTTATATCAAGTTTAACAGACCAAAGATGATCTATGAATGTATGAGTTAAAATAACCTAAGAATAGACTTTGTTGGCTATTATACTTATGCTTGGCCAACAATGACTGGTTGAGCACTCCTAAGTATGGTGGCCCCATTCAATGGCTACCCACCCACTGCCTTGGTTGATCAGAATAATATACCTCTGTTGTGCCCCTAAAAGGGGTCAACTCTATGTATGTTTCATCTGACACACATCCCTCTTTCAGGTTAATTAAGAAGTCCATCTAAGCAAGTTTGGATGGAATAAAGATTGATCGAAGGAGCAAACTGAATAAACCTGAATTATAATCCAACTAGAAATCGATCTTGTTAACATGTCAAATGTTGGCCTCAGTCAATCAAACTTGTAGACAAGGTGAAACGAGAGTCCACAAAGGCATCTACACATGCTCAGACAGAATAATTAAGCATCCGATACTTACTATAGGGGCTTGCAAACCATGATAACAATAGCACATAGAAATCAAGTACTAAAGAAAGATGCACCACAAATTCCAAGGTCATAATTCAATCAAGATCTTGGTTACCACAAACTAATATATCAATTACAAAATGGACAATGATGCAAGAAAATAACCCATATATAAATACACATCACAAACTCATCTAAACCAGTATCACTGAATTTTCATGCATCAAGTCTATCAACAAACGATTCATGGAAATATTATTAGCAGTATCAAGAAGATTAACTACAAATCACAAATAAATTGCATCAAGAAGCAGGGCCCAATCAATGTTACACACCTCAAAGTTTAGTGCGCATCAAAGAGATCACAACAGAACATAGGCAACAAGAAGTTAACATTATAAGAAAAGAAACAAGCATGATCAAAGCTCTCCGAGACTCCTCATCAAGAAATCACTTAAAACTTTACATCGAAACGAGTCGAGTGCAGCACCAGGTAACCCTAACTTCAGAGATCAAGCAAGAGAGAGAAAAAAATAAGCGAGGTAGAGAAATAGGGAAAAGAAACTCACGGTGCGGCCATCGATGGTGTGGTTGTCCTGGAGAACGCGATCGAGGAGGGCGGGATCCGCGAAGACGACGAACCCGAAGCCCCTGGGCCGGCCTGTGACCTTGTCCCTCATGATGACGGCGTCTAGAACCTCGCCGTAGTTGCCGAAGTGATCCTTGAGCTTGTCCTCGGTGGTCTCCCACGAGATCCCCCCAATGAAGAGCTTCCCCTCGTCTGAATCCATCTCTTCTCTCTGTGCCTCTCTTCAAAAACACTTCCTTCACTCTTCACTCTCTAGTATAAACTACCCGGCCAGTGGAATAGTGAGAGTCGAAGAGGAGAGGAGAGGAGAACCACCGCCGCCGGTGGGAGAGAGGAGGGGACGAAGCCCAAATAGAGGAGAATAATGTAGTTTGGGAACGGATGCGATCGGGTTAGTCGTTCCGATCCGAGGGTGGAGATCGATCGGTCGATTGCAGGGTAGGGTTATGCTTCCGACCTCGCTTTTTGTTTTTGTTTTTGCTTTTATGTTTCGGAATAAAAGGAGGGGTTTTGGACATCGACTATTTAAATATATATTGCTGATTTCTTAATTATTTTATGATGTCATGATCCTTAACGTTAACGTAATATTTAATGCTTCATTTATCTAAAATATTGACATCCAAATTCATATTTATATCTTTAGCCTAAGTTCTCATAAATAGCCAATTTAATGAACTAAACTAAGATTCGAGAATATGAACATACCATGAAAGCAAGAGTGTGCTCACACTCGTGCATGCATTGGGCACGCAAGCGCGCGTGTTGGGTGACACGTACACGTGTATAAGCGTGGTCGATTGCGTGGCGTGGGTGTAGCCGTCGGTGTATGGACCTCGAGATATTTCTCATCCCGGTTCGCTGCCACCACACGATTCGTTGTGGATTTCTGTCTAAGCTGAAACAGGATGCAGGGTATGTCCACGCACTTCGTGTGGGTGGAGCCCACCTGTCCTAGATGTTTCGACAGAGTCTCCCCACCGTGTGGGGCCCTTTCCAGCTGTGTCTCATCCGGAGAGCGATGAATCACCGCCACCACTCGATCGAGATCTCCATTGTGTGGCCTGCGTCCGGCGCACATCTTCCTCCCCTCGCCACCGCTTCCTCTCTTCCCACCTCTTCATTGTCATCGAAGATCCCGCTCTTCTTCCAGCACATAGACCGCAACAGCCCTCGACCTCCATGGCTGCGCCGCTGTCAGCCACAGGGCTCAGTAACTCCCTGCACTCGACGTTCCATGGAAGCTGGGCCACGTCGTTTGCCGGGGCAGACCGGGCGATGCTGGCCAGGCCGGCCCCGGCGTCGGTTCGGGTCTCCAGGCCGCGCCGGTCTCTGCCTAAGATGGGAAACGTCAACGAAGGCAAAGGCCTCTTCGCGCCCTTGGTCGTTTTCACTCGCAACATCATCGGCAGGAAGCGGTTCAATCAGCTCAGAGGGAAGGCCATAGCTCTCCACTCCCAGGTGTTTGTCTGTGTGTGCCTAGATATATGAATCGTTCATCACTTGTCTATCGTTCACATGTTGGTGTTTGCGCTCAGGTGATCACAGAGTTCTGCAAGACTATAGGGGCTGATGGTAAGCAGAGACAAGGTTTGATCCGCTTGGCCAAAAAGAACGGAGAAAAGCTTGGGTTTCTCGCCTGACATGCCATTCTTTCTTAGCTGAAGCAACTGTGCTGTATGAATTTTTCTGGTGGTTTCGTCTGAGAAAGAATGTATATATATGTCTTGTTTGGCTGCTTAATTTCAACAAACAACTGCTGTATCTTCACATATCATCATATTAGTATTAGTCTTGTGCTTGAGATTCACTTTCCTGTGGTAGGATATAAGAGGTGTCTAACTCGTGCTTCATATTATGCTTCTAATAGCAACGTAGTTGAAGAGGAGCAGAATGTTCTCTACATGTAGTCTCTATGTAGTTTCCAAGTGAAAACGTAGACATGCATCAGATTACGTTATCGACACCCATTCGCAGACCAACCCATTGCTTGGTACGTACAGCTTGTTTCTTCTATTCACTTTCCACTGTCTCAGCGCACGAGAAGAACGACAGCCTCCCACTTCTCTTCCGGTTATGCCCGCCATGGCTGTTGTTTGACCGGTCGTCCCTCTCGTGGTCTGGCGAAATCTCGGCTTTCCACATCTCTAGCTTGGTCTCCAGCTCCTCCCGCTCCCGCTCCTCCACCCCACTCTCCATGCTCACCGATCCGTTCCTCTCCAGCTGCCATCCGCTGCAGTCATCGGAGGACCATCTTCGGCCGTTGGCTTTCGCCTGTCTTCCAACGGTGATATCCTTGTAGGCGAAGGCCGCCGGAGAGTCGAGGCCGAAGTAGAGCGGCATGCTCCTCACGTGGGGTTCGAGGATGGCGACGCTGAGGTTGAGTATGCCGTGGGGGCGGAGGGAGGAGGGGCGGCGGACCAGGAGAGCGACGAAGCGGCGGACGCCAGGGGCGGGGCTGAGGGAGCTAAGGACGACGCGGACGGTGCCGAGGAGATGATCGGGGAGGGGGCTGAGGCGGCTACGGGCGGCGTGGAGGTGGACGTCCACGCAGGCCGTGTCGGAGCGGAGGAACGCGTCATCGACGCGGAAGATGAACTTGTCGTTCCAGGTGGGGTCGGCGTGGCCGGCGCGGTCCACCCGGGTGCAGAGCTTGTGCTTCGGGTCGACCCAAGCGGAGGCGTACGTGTTAATGGACCGGGTGGCGGGGTAGAGGCCCTGGGCAGAGATGATGGTGATCTCCAGGAGGTGGAAAGGCATGAGTGCAGTGGTCGGCCGGCCGAGGTCGCCGCTGCCACCGTCCACTGCCTCCATGGTCGTCTTGGAGGTGACGGGGGGTGCGGTTGGTGGATTATATTGGGGAGGAGAGGAGCGGGAGAGGCAAAACCGGGGCAGCAGGAAGCGGCGGACGAAGGAGAACAAGGACAGGCTGTGGGCCTTCAACCGGAGTTTGGCGAGGAACGGTGGGTGGCGATCGAGAGGGACAGAGGAGCTACAGCTGGTGGCGATACTTCCTCCTGCGGTGATCAAACGGCTTGCGCAACGCTCTCCGTCTGACCTGCGTGTCTCACGACGGGTGGGCTCCTGCGTGGGGCCACGGATATCTCCAATTAAAAGGGCAGGTAGTTTTGTAGGTGTCTTAAATGGAGTATTTGGTATAACCCATTTCACACTAAATATTATTTTAAATGTCTTTCAAGCTTACCTACAATAATAATGAGAAGAAAAAAATCAAGTAGGACTAAGAGATTTAGTTTAGGTTGACTTGGATGAGCTCAATATAAGCTATTAAGTAGATGTCAAGACCCATAAGTAGAACAAAATCAAGTGTTGTGACATCTAATAAGAATAAAGATGGTTTTAATTTGGATATTAGACCTTGTTGAAGTATTGTGACTTGATGAAGGATTAATTAGGGGTTCAATAGTCCACATGATAGCATTTTGCATTGTCAAATTCACCATCAAGCACCATATGTGATGGTTATTGATCCTTCAAACTTTGTTTGTAGGCATACCACCATGGTTACAATTTGATAGGATCATTTTCTTAGGTCAATATAATTCTCATGTGGAGTCCAATCTGGATACCTCATGTCAGCATTTGAATATGAGGAAAAACTTCATAGGTATGCTATATCACACATAAAAGGAATATTTCATAATTAAATTGATGATTACAAAACTTATCATATATAAGGCAACCTTTTTTTGTTCTAATAACTATTGAACTCATTATGTACTTTCCATTCATAGAACAAATGAATGAATATTCTTTGTCATTGGAGAGGGTTTGCTAAACAAATTGTTGCAGTTTTTCACAATAATAAAGTAAAATGAGAAATGAAATATAATTTTTTTTTACTTTCAAGTAAAATTATTTTTAGTAAGTAATGATCTTGAATTTTCTTGAAGATGTAACCTCTTTCAGATATGATAATTTCAAATATCGGATTAGTTATCTTAGATTGATAATCAAATTGTTCATATTGAAATTGAATTTATTGATTTTTAATTAAAAAAATAAAATATGTAGTATACAACTCTTAGTAGGGAATTAAATTAGATAATTTGGGTTAATGGAGGCAAAACTCCTATTGGCAAATCTATAGTAAGAATGAGTTAAAGTTAATGTAATTAGAATAAGGAAGAATTCATTTGGCTACAAAAATACATCAACCAAGGAAATGAATAATCTTAACTTGTTGAGTATCACAATCAAGGAAATCTATCTTCAGTATTAGATCAGCTTTACCCAAGACATAAGTAAAAGATAATTGTTTAGATTTTACAATGATAAGCCAAATTATTTTATCTTAAGTTATTAAACTTTTAATATAAGGAATAGAATAAAATGTCTAAGTGAATGGCTTGGAGATCACCATTTTCATTATTTTCCTTTCATTGCTTTAACATAACATCTGAATACCTTCTCAATTGGATTCCCCCTAATATACTCCTTTTGCTGGAATTTCCATCATAAGAGGCTTCCTACCCATGCCCTTTTATGTCCTTCTCAACCCACAAATAATCTCAGCACTGTAGAGGAAGGGAAAGAAGCAATGATATATATTTCCATTGTCTGGTTTCTTAGCCTAATCAGAAATGACTCGTTCAAGGAAATCTTACTATGCTTATTTGGATAGCTTGAATGTTTTGGCTTTTAATCAACAAGATGATCTTCCAAACTTCTATTTTTCCTAAACTGATGCCAACACCAAATTATTATATTGGTTTATTTAGATATGTAAAATTAGTTCTGTAAGTTATAATGAATAATGGTAAATTTGTCTCTATATTTTTTTAATTATATAATATGTTTATTAATTAAATAATGAAGTTTATAAAACTCAAGCTTTATTATATGTGCAATAATGCACTTATCGTTTATATAATTAAGTTAGGAATTAATTTTTTCCTTACTTACCATTATAATTTAGGAAATCTTAATATATTTTCTTATTTACTATTATGAATTATAAAATAATTATTAAGCATTCCAAATAGGATGATATTGTTAGTGTATTAAATCGAAATAATTTATATTAAATAAATATAAAAATTAAAATAAATAATTTTTAATGGAGGCTCACCTAGCCGAGCCTAACAGCAGAGGAGTTATAACCAACTGATGAGAGATAGGTTTCCATACCTTTCTTGAAAATAAAAATTTTAGTTTTTATTTTGATTCTTTCAATGTTGAAAGCTTATAGTTTGAAAATATTTATCAATTCTTTAAATATCAAAATTTTTATTGTTATATTAAAATCTATCAGCTATAGTTTTTATAATGTTCTTTGACCATTGCTTAAGGTTTTTATTTTTAGATTTAAACATGTTAAAAATTTACATATTTTATGTATTAAATATATGATATTTCCTAGTATTACAACTTATCTTTAATCTTATATAGATTAAAATTTTTGTTAGATTAAAATATGTAATCTAAATTTGTTGATATTCTTTAATCTGAAATTTAAAATGTGCTATTCTGAATGATTTAAAATTTATTTGACTAAAATATGTTTAAATTATATATGTGTTAAAAGCATGATTTCTATTTGAATTTAGAATGTTATTTCTTTGTATTAAAGCGTATCTTATGATGTATCTTTTAACGTGTTATTATGTTTTTATTTATGTAATTGTTAGTGAATAAATATTGTGGTATGAAATTGGATATAAATTGGATTGAAATTGTTGACAGGCCAAGCCCAACCTATAGGTTAAGCCATAGCCCACTAGCCAGGCCCAGCCCGTAAGCGAGCCCCAACCCATGGGTCAGGCCCTTGGCCTGTAGGCTAACCCAACCCAACCATTATGGGCAGTCACATGCAATGCAAATGATCCGTCCATGGGCTAACCTGGTGTGATGCATGCCTAGTTATGTATAATGTACATCACAGCTGACCTAGTCTAGTCCAATATTATTGTTGGATTTGACTCCAAATATTGATTGAATTAAACTAGGCTTAATTAGTCTAGATCGATTCATTCTGAATTGATTAACTTATGTAAGTCAGTTTAAACCTAATCTAGTTCAAATTATACTAGTATAAGATAGTTCCAGACTAGTTAAATGAGGATTAAAGATCGATTTAATTATGTTCTAGTAAATCGGGTTCAATTAGATCGATTGAATTGGGGTTCAAGTCAATTGATGGCTAATTTATATTATTTGATATTGATGATATTTAAAAGAGATGTTTAAAATATATTATTTCATCTTGATATAGACATGACCAATGTGATATTATATTATTTCCCTACCAAGGGTAGGTAGACGTGACAATTGGACGGTTCCTCCATCTACTATTAGGATGAACATGTCCCTACTTTGGCAAGTGAGGGATACCGCTCCATCCATTGTTGGGAGTACGATATGAGTTTATCTTCGTCCGCTGTTGGGAAAACACAAACTCATCTGGTATGATAAAGCCTCTTCATCCGTTGTTGGGGGAGTGCTCCTTTGGGTATTTAATATTCGCTAATGGGATGATTGATTTTTGATTATGTATTCTTTTTGAGTTGACTTTTGAGGTTCCTACTCAGTGTTGCTAAGAAATTTTTAATGAAAATCAAAAGAGCTCGTTATTTTGATAGGGGACTTCGATCATTAATTAGAAAGTCCGTTGTAGTACTAATTTTACCGACATATGCTGAAGTATTAAATCGAGCTCTGGTGGTAGAGAAATTAGATAATGAACTACAATAAGCAAAAGATTGAAATCGACCTTTTAGTGCTACACTATCTGCGTATGGGGGATCATATTCTGGACCCTCAAAGAAAGGCAAAGGCAAACAGTTTGGGCATTAACAAGTAGGAGCTCCTAGTAATCAAGTCGTCATAAGATATTATTTTTGTGGGAGGACAGATCATATTTCCACCTCATGCCACATGGGACAACGTGTATGTTTTTATTATCAATAACCGAGGTGTATGTCAAAGGACTGCCCTCAGAAGCAACATCAATGTCAAGCTCCACTCCAAACAGTTGGATAGCATAAGCTAGGACCTAGAGAGGGAGGACAGGTAGGAATCTACGCACTAACTCATTAAGATGTTGAAGCCTCGAGATCTATTATAATGGTATCATCACACTCTATGGTATTTCAACGTTTGTGCTTATAGATTCTAGTTCTTTGTATTCTTTTATATCACCTTATTTTGTTACGAAACTACATAGGAATCGTGAGACAATGAGTAATGCATTAATGGTAGTAACACTAGTTGGAAACTCTTTGATAGTTAATCATATATATAATAACTACATTATTACTATTGAAAATCATGATTTGCTAGTAGATCTTATTTTACTAGAATTTTAAGATTTCGATGCTATCTTGGTTATGGACTGACTTTCAGCATACCATGCAAGTGTCGAATTGTTTCCGGAAGACTATTACTTTCTCACCCCTAGATCAACTATCTTTCAAGTTCATTAGGATTAAAGAAAAATTCTCTTCTATTATTTCAGCCTTGAGTACTACTCAACTATTACTGAAAGAATGTTAGGGATACTTCTTTATTTCTAGAGAAGAATCTAAGAAGCTAGTATTAAAGGACATCCCCTTTATTTCCTAAAATTTTTATTAGATTAAAGTATGTTATCTAAAATTTTTAATATTCTTTGATCTGAAATTTAAAATATGCTATTCTAAATGATTTAAAATTTATTTGACCAGAATATGTTGAAATTATATATATGTTGAAAGTATAATTTCTATTTGAATTTGCAATGTTATTTCCTTCTATTAAAGCTTATCTCTCGATCTATGTTTTAATATGTTATTATGTTTTTGTTTATATAATTATAAGTGAATATATATTGTGGTATGAAATTGGATATAAATTGAATTGAAATTACTCAAAAGCTAGGACCAACCCATAGGTTAGGCCATAGCCCATTGGTCAGGCCCAGCCCGTATGCTAGGCCTAACTCATGGGTCAGGACCTTAGCCCGTAGGCTAACCCAGCCTAACCATCATGGGCGATCATATGCGACGCACATGACCAGTCCATGAGCCAAGGCTGAGCTAGCCTGGTGTGATGCATGCCTAGTCATATGTAATACACATCACTAGTATATGGGGTGACTTAATCTAGCCAAATATTATTATTGGATTTAAGCCAAAATATTGATTGAACTAAACTAGGCTTGATTAGTCTAGATCGATTCAGGGTGATTCCGAATTGATTGACTTATTCAAGTCA